ATATCTTTATTCTAATTATTTGAAGATGAATTAACATCATTAAAAAATAAAAAAATATTTAATTGTACTTGAAAGTTGTGCTTATACATCGTAGTAAGATAAAGATATTGTGCTTATTATAAAATAATTGATGATTATTTAAAAAAATTTCATCGATTTTTGTTTTTAAGTATTAAATTAAATCAACTTAAGCATATAAAAGGAGAATTATTAGAATTTAATACAATAATAATATTAACTTCTTTTAAGCTAGTTGATATTTTTCCTTTTTTTTAATTATTATTCTTGCATAGTTAATTGAGAAAATTAGAGATTAGTGTAACAGATAAATCAAATTTTTTTTAATGAATTTGATTACAATCCATATGTGAAATCAATGCAGTCAATATAGTATCATCGTAATTAGGAGTGCCACTAATCTCAACAGTTTATATACAACAAAGGTCTAAATTTTTATATTACCCTTAATATCTATTTTAATTATTTTTGAATCTATAAGATGAAATTATATTTATGTAACAGATTAAAAATGATATTAAAAAATGATAATCGCGTCTACCAGTATTTTAGCTTAGCAATGATAAATATCATAAGGTCTTCCAGCTAGCAAGTAATTTATTGTTTAGATTAATTAAATAAACAAATATTTAATAGCTATATTTTTAATTATAGGAAAATAATCGGTAACATTAACATACTTCCTTAAATTTATAATCATTTTTTCAATTATTGTTCCAACAAGTGTTTGAAAATATTAATAATTGTTTTAAAGTTGTTACTTTTTCTTTTAAATCACATGACTAATTCAATTAATAATTTTTAATAGTTTAATCCATCGAAGTTGGTAAAATTTTGACAAAACCCAACCCGTAACTGTTGAGCTGCCTAATATCAATTTGTCTGTTTAGATATTTCAAATTCAAATTTTTTTTTGATATATTTATTTAGGCTATTTATTCATTTGACTTTTTTTTAGTTATTTTTGAAATTTTTTCTAATTAAAAAATCTGCTATGGAGTTCTCTTATAAGATTAATATCTTTGTCATTATTTTAATTTTTTAATCACTTAAATATTTTCAGAGAAAATAGAGAATTAATTTACTTTTCTTTTGAAAAAAATATGTTTTAAATAGAAGGGAAGAAGATTTAAATTATTATCTAAAATAAGAAATATATATTTAAAAATTCTACTTTTAATATATTTTATATTGTGACAATCTAATTACTTAACCTTTAAACAATAAATTTATCAATATTAAATGCTTCTGTAAAAGGAATTTATTTAGTTCTTGTAATTATCTGTAAACGATAATCATCTATGGCAAATCTACAAATTCTATAAAATTTGACCTTATTATTAATGCATTTCATTTTTATTGTAAGGTTTCATATCATTATTATTTACCTGTCTAATTGCGCTAAGTAATTCTGTGCCTACCTCATTTTCGTGAGAAAACTCTTAATCAATGTTCTGAAATTAAAATATTATCAGTTTCTACAATAAGAAATGTTTTTTTAAGAAATGAAAACCTTTTAGATAAGGTTGCAATTTTAAAAAGCATATTGTTATAAAAGAAATTTTTTAAATTTCATTATATATTATTATAAACTTTAGTTAAAATGAGGAAAGAAATTAATTCAATTAAGAAGTAATTCTCAAATTTTTCTGGAATTATTATATAAAAGTTTAAATTAGAAAATGAACTGACTGTTATTGATTGGCGTGAATATGTGAAAAATGTTTTTGAAAGTTATGAATTATGTGAGTGTTAACAAAATCAAAATTAAAAAATTCAAGTTTAAAATATCAATATCTTAAAGAGTTTGTTTCATGAAAAGTAAAATCATGATTCTTTTGTTTTATCAGAATGGGTTAAAATATAAGAAATTATTAATGAAGATGATCAATTTATATATCCATATATCAAATTAGCATCTAATTTTGAAGATCCAATACTATCTAATGATAAATTATCACTTCTTTAAATTCAATATAAATTATCAGATATTTAAAATTAAATAATTGTAACAACTTATAGCTACATTTTTCCTATTGTTTCAAAAGATTTTTCTAATAATCCATTTTGTATTGTAGAAATTATTGATATCCTCCACAGAATAAAATTATAGCATAAAATATAAGTTAAGTTGATTTGAAATTAAATGAAAATTTAAATTAAATTTTATGAGTAGTCAATAACTCATGAATAATTTATTTACCTGAACATAAAGTATGTGTTTGTCCTTATAATACTATTGATCATTAAATTTGTCTATGTTATAAAGAAACTAATTTACAATTTATTGAAGAACCTTTCATAAATACTGAATGTTTATATGGTTATTTTGAATTAGATAATGAATGCTACAGATGGTAATTTATAAATAATATATAAATAGTCCTTCAATGATTTATTAATTTTTCTAGATTGTGTATAAAATTCTATATCTTTTAGCCAATATCCATCATGCGATTTATACATCAGTTAATTAGATTAGACAGAAAAACTTTAGTGGAGTTATCCAGTTTAATTACTTTTTGATGGAAATGATATTAAGTTAGCATCATTGTAATTAGATATACAAACTATCTTAAATGATCTATAGAATTATTCCTTTTTATTGATATTGTGAAGAATGCTTAATAAAATTTGCTTTGGATGTCAAAAATATATATCATTATTATTTAGTATTTCATGCCCTGATTCATTTATACTAGAAGATGGTAAATGTATAATTGATAAAATTACAGTATTACAGTATCTAGAGAGGTTAAGATGTAATAACATAAAAAATGTGTCGTACTCTTTATTTAGTGCAAATTGTGTCTAATAAATAATTGCATTTATTGTTTTGAATACTAAAATGATGAATATTCCTTCAAGAGTACTTCATATAAAAATTTTGAAAGTTTTAATTTAGTTAACTAAATAATAAATGTTGGCTGCAAAAAAGGATTTTTGTTGATTTGAAAATTGGAAAATGCTTAATATAATAATCAAAAATTTTAAGTTATTTAATATCATTTATCAATTTAGATGGCATTTGTACTCTATCATCTTAAACTGATTTTAGCATTGCACTTGTAATGATAAATTGTGAGAATTATTTCTCTAATTGTTTATAATGTGTCCTCATTCCTAAATCAAAGCTTCAATGGGTAATCTGTAA